CTTTGGTTTGCAGCCTTTGATTTCCAGAAGGCCTTCGATTTAGTGGAACATCAAGCGCTTTGGAACACAATGTATAAGCAGAACGTGCCAGTCGCTTACATCAACGTCTTGAAAAAGCTGTATACGGGTCAGACGGCGAAAATCAAGACGGACACTCTCAGCCGGAACTTCAGCATCGAGCGGGGCACGAAGCAAGGGGATCCGCTGAGCTCGCTCATTTTCAATTGCCTTCTTGAGGACATCATGCGGCAAGTCAAGGTAAAGTGGCACAAATCAAGATATGGATTGAAACTGGGAGCGACTGGTGTTTCAAGACTCACAAACTTGCGCTTCGCCGACGAGGTGCTGCTACTTGCGAGGACCTTGCCGCAGGTCAAAGCCATGATCAAGGATATTTCCATCACCGCAGGAGCAGCTGGTTTACTATTGCATCCAGAAAAGACGAAAATACTAACAAGCACAACGAAAAATGCAAAAGGGAAGGCAAAGTATGTCGTGATCGAGGACATGAACATCGAGATTTTGCAGCCGGGGGACACCGTCAAATATTTGGGAAGACAGCTGGGATCTACAAGCAATTCCGGAGCAGAACTTGATTTCCGCATCCGCCAGGCGTGGAAAGCTTTCATGGCTAACAAGTCCGAGCTTACATGCAAAACGTACTCTTTGGCATCAAGGTTACGACTCTTTGACAGCGTCGTTACACCGACAGTATTGCATGGCTCTGCATCTTGGACTTTGTCACGACCGGAGCAACAGAAGCTGCAAAGGACACAGCGAAAAATGTTGCGAATGATTCTGGGGGCAGGAAGGCGGGTAGAAGAACGCAGAGACATCGAAGCTGACAGTGGCAGTTCCGAGGTGGAACCCAGCCCAGATGACACCAGCAATGGCGACTGTGAGTTGGAGTCCTGGGTTTCATGGGTGCGCAGAACAACACAAACCGTCGAACGTCAGATGCGCAAGAGCCGCATTGACAGCTGGATGGTTGCATGGAGAAAGCGGGTCTGGAGGTGGGCGCAGCGAGTGGCCACTGCAGACAGTATCAGGTGGATGTGGAAGATCGACAGGTGGGACGCAGAACTGGACGCAGCTTCACGTGGCAGACCGGCACACAGACCCGTCAAACGATGGACCGATGATATCGTCGCCTTCCTGAACAGCAAAGGTATCGAAGTTTCACCCAACACTTGGAGAGATGTTGCTTCAGACTCTGCAGCATGGCATGATTTGGAAGCTACATTCTGCTTGTGCGACGACTGAGCGCCGCGGCGCTGACCACCCAGCCTTCCGGGGCCGAGCCTTGCTCGACGTGGTGTCCGTCCGCTCCTATTATTCCCAAATCGCGCTCTCGCGCGGGGCTTCCTCAAAATTCATGCACGCATCGCGCTCTCGCGTGGGACTTCCTCACAATTTATTCATGCGATGCGCCCTCGGCGCTCAGGAATCACGCTCTCGCTTTGGCTTTTCTCACGATTTACTTAGGGAACGCGCTATAGCTCGAGACTTCTTCGCGATCCATGCAGGGCCCACGCTTCAGCAACCCGCCTGCTCGACCTCGTCGCCTGGGCCCGCCTTCCCGACCTGCCCGCGATGGGTCTGCCCACCCGCTCTGCCCGTCTGGTTCTGCCACTTGTTTTCTGCTCCTTGCCCTCCTCCTGCTAATTTCCCTCGTGCTACATTCTTCTCCCTCCCCCTTCCACCCGTCCTCTCTGCCCTTGTTTTGGGCTGCGCTACATGCACGTGGCAGGTAAGGAAGATATACCCCCTAATGGGGTACGAACGAAGACGACGAGGGCTGGTACGGAGGGTTTGGCATATACGTATTGGTTGGCACGTGGGCAGATAAGAGCGAACAGTCTTAACATGAATGTTGTTGTTGTTGGTGGTGGTGGTGTCGTTGCTGTGGTTGTTGTTGTTGCTGCTGTTGTTGTGGTTGATCTTGTTGAACGCTCACTACTGAAGAACAAGTATTGTTGACCCGCACATGGTATTTTTAAAATTGAAGTGCCCCTCCCGGCGCTCGCACCTTGTTTTTATCACGCAAAGTCTTCCTCCTCAAACTGGGCCCCTGGCCTCCGGGTTACAACAGCAACGGCTCCTGCCTGAGGTTTCCTCACAATTTTAGCCAGGAGCCCCGCTCCCTCCGGAGACTTCCTCGCATTGTATTCAGGAATCGCGCTCTCTCTGGGGAATTCCTTACAATTTATTCAGGAGTCGCTCTCTCGGCGCTCTGGAGTCGCGCTATCGCTGGAGGCTTGCTTGCAATTCACTCAAGAATAGAACGCCCTTGCGTTGGAATTTCCCGCACTTTATTCAAGCGCCGCGCTCCCGACACTCAGGCACCCAGGAGTCGCGCTCACGCTTAGGACTCTTTCTCAAATTATTCCGAAATCGGGATCTCGCTGCCCTTCGTGGCCCCGTTGCAGCCCTTCGTTGCCCCCTGAATGCCCTTCGTGGACCGGTTGCGCCCCTTCGTGCCCCCCTCGCTGCCCTTCGTGGCCCCGTTGCAGCCCTTCGTGGCCCCCTCGCTGCCCTTCGTGGCCCCGTTGCAGCCCTTCGTGGCCCCCTCGCTGCCCTTCGTGGCCCCGTTGCAGCCCTTCAAGGCCCCCTCGCTGCCCTTCGTGGCCCCGTTGCAGCCCTTCGTGGCCCCCTCGCTGCCCTTCGTGGCCCCGTTGCAACCCTTCGTGGCCCCTCTCGCTGCCCTTCGTGGCCCCGTTGCAGCCCGTCGTGGCCCCTCTCGCTGCCCTTAGAGGCCCCGTTGCAGCCCTTCGAGGCCCCCTTGCTGCCGTACGTGGCCCTGTTGCAGCCTTTCATGGCCCCCTCGCTGCCCTTCGCGGCCCCGTTGCAGCCCTTCGTGGCCCCCTCGCTGCCCTTCGTGGCCCCGTTGCAGCCCTTCGTGGCCCCTCTCGCTGCCCTTAGTAGCCCCGTTGCAGCCTTTCGAGGCCCCCTTGCTGCCGTACGTGGCCCCGTTGCAGCCCTTCATGGCCCCCTCGCTGCCCTTCGTGGCCCCGTTGCAGCCCTTCGTGGCCCCCTCGCTGCCCTTCGTGGCCCCGTTGCAGCCCTTCGTGGCCCCTCTCGCTGCCCTTCGTGGCCCCACATATGTATGCCCTTCAGGACCCCCGCTCGCTCGCGCCCGTCGCGGCCCCATATGCATGCCCTTCGTGGCCCCGCTGTCGCCCTCCGTGGCCCCCTCGCTGCCCTTCGTGGCCCCGTTGCTGCCCTCAGAGGCCCCGTCCTTGCCCTCCGCGGCCCGATGTACTTGCGCCCTTCGTGGACCCCGCTTGTTCGCGCCCGTCGTGGCCCCATGTGCATGCCCTTCGTGGCCCCGCATTATCTGCCATTCGTGGCCCCCTCGCTGTCCTACGTGGCCCAGTTGCTACCCTCAGTGGCCCTGTCGTTGCCTTCTGTGGCCCCGCATTATCTGCCCTTCGTGGCCCCCGTTCGTTCGCGCTCTTCGTGGCCCCATGCGCGTTCCCTTCGTGTCCCCGCTGTCGCCCTTCGTGGCCCACTTCGTGCCCTTCGTGGCCCTGCTGTCGTTCTCTCTCTCGCTCTCGCTTTCGCTCGTCGTCATCGTCGCCGTCGTCGTCGTCGACGTCGTCGTCGTCGTGGTCGGTTTCCTGTCCGTCCCTCTTGGGGTCGGGTTGCCGCCGATCAGCGCTGCCGCTGGCCAGGCTGACGGTCCGTGGCCGCCCCGCCGCTTGCCGGGGCCCGGCCTGCAGGGAAGAAAGGTATTTCCCCGAAAAGGGGTACGATCGAAGACGAAGAGGGCGGGTATTAAGGGTTTGGGAAATACGCGTTAACGGACACTCGGGCAGATAAGAGCGAACAATATTAAATTGATAGGTGTTGTTGGTGGTGCTGCTTTTGTTTTTGTTTTTTGTTTTTGTTGTTTTCAGGTTTTGAGACAAGGACGCATTTTGTATGTGTGTTGCGTTGTTTTTTGTTTGCAGGCTCAGAGCGGAGTACTGGGAGGGAGGCCGTGGTGCTTGCAAAACCCCAGAACAACAAACATACAACACGCGTCCTTGCATTCCAGACGGAAGAAACAAATCAAGCACAAACGCTTTTTGCAATTGGTTCTGTATTGTTACAAAGAGGAGGATGATGAGGAGGAGGAGGAGATGCAGCAGGAGGAGGAGAAGAAGGAGGACGACGACGAGCAAACGATCAGGGGAAATGTTCTGATTTGGCTGGTTTGGGGGTGCTGGGGGGTTTGACCATCATATATATATGTATATATATGGACATACAAATATAAAAAGTATAAATGTATGCATATACGTAGCACCCCACAGTTGCGGATAAGAGTGAGGGGGCGGCGGGACGTCGGCAGTCTGCGAGGCTTTGAAGAAGCCCTCCGCAGGCGCACAATTTTCCGAGCTATACAACGAGCCTGCCGCAGGCGCTGATTTTTTGTTAAAACAATGTAGGGGGTCGCGGGTTAGGTCGTCGTGGTCGCGGGTGGGTCCACGGTGGGTCGCGGGCCGGGTCGCGGGCCGGGTCGCGGGTGGGTCGCAGGCGGAGTCGCGGTTGGGTCGCGGGTGGGTCGCGGGTGGGTCGCGAGCGGGTCGCGGGGTGGATTGCGGGTGGGTCGCGGGTGGGTCGCGGGGTGGGTCGCGGGTGGGTCGCGGGTGGGTCGCGAGGTGGGTCGTGGGTGGGTCGCGGGCCGGGTCGCGGGGGGGACGAGGACAACAACAACAACAACAACAACAACAACAAGCAGAATCTTCACCACGGGTCCGCACTTCAACCACGCACCCAGAGACAATGAATGACCGTTCGGGCCCCTCCTTCTGATTATATGTGTGTGTCTGTGTGTTTCAGCACTTGTCGCACGGAGAACCGGCCAGAAACTTCTACATTATACGTTGTCCTGTACGCAGCGTTTCTGCGAAACTCCATGGGACACGATCTCCGGGGACCTGCGATGCCACGAGCAGCGGCTGGGCAGTCGTCGCCGCTGCCGCCTGCCGCCGCCACCGCGGCCTGCCGTAGAGGAGCTCTGGAAGGGCGACGTGCGCAGTCTCGAGCAGCAGCTCGGGCGCCACCGCCTGGCGGCCAAGGCTGGGGCGAGCAGATAAGCTCGCGCCGTGACAAAAATCACTGCGGGAGGTTTTTCGTCGGCCGGAACAAACATGATCCGAGATGGAAAACCGACCCTGGGGAAAAGGCTGGGACTTCTGGGGACCCCGCATGAAAACAACATCAAGACATCGCATGCCTGGGGAGGACAGGGGGAGGCGGGGATCGCGGTTCGAGGGCACAGGTTTTGTGCCCCCTTGGACAGGCAGTGCAACCGCTTCTTCAGTTCCTTGCCCACCGCCCCCCTCCCCCCCGGGACGCCAGATCTCAATGTGGAGTTAGCCGCAGGCAGCGGTGGAACGAATCGGATGGCGCGGCGCCCCACGCGACCGTGGAAATTGCGGGGCGCGGAACGGATCGCGCCAGAGGGGCGCATCACTTCCCCAGGGAAGTGCCGGTTTTTGTGACGTTTGCGGCCCTTCCTGCGTCTCCTCGGCGTCACGGCGGCTGGGGAGGCGAGGATCGAGGTTCCAGTGCACAAGTTCGATCGAGGAGCCACAATGGACTCGGCGCGTGGCTCGGCGGCGGGCTTCACTTCTCGTGCAGAGCTCGCGCGCCCCGTGGCCAAGCCAGACGGCACTGGCGCCATGCTTCGGGGGCCCCGCCCCCAGCTCCGCGGATCTGGCGCTGGCGCCCGTCTGACGTCGTCAGAAGCCGTCTTGGGAGCTTCTCTGGGCCTTCTTGGGGCCCTCCTGGGGCGCTTCGGGCTCGTCTTGAAGGCCATCTTGGGTGTCTTGGTGGCCTGTTGGGCCGTCTTGGGGCCCACTGGGGGGCAATCTTGGGAGCTTCTTTGGCGATCGTGGGGCAGTCTTGGGGCCTCGTGGGCCGCCCAGGCAGTCGGAAGGCAGTTTTGAAGCACATGTGAAAATCCTTCAACAACGAACGGGAACTCAACGACTATGGCCTCTTTGGGCTTTCCTGAAGTACCCTTTTGGGGCCGATCCCCGATCCCTGTTGGCGCGTGTCCGGCGAGGATCAAGGCTCCAGGGCGCAGGTTGCAGGTTTCGGCGTGCTCGGTCGTTCCTGCGAGTCCTCGCCGGCCACGGCCGGATGGGCAGGGGTCGAGGTTCCAGGGCGCAGGTTCTAGTTGTCTTGCGTTTTCGGCATTTCCTGCGTCTCCTCGTTGCCGCGGCCGGGGAGGCGGTGGTCGAGGTTCCAGGGCGCAGGTTCCAGGTTTTTTGGCTTCGGCCTGTCTTGCGTCTCCTCGTCGCCACGGCTGGGGATGCGGGGGTCGACGTGGTTTTTGAAGCGTTCGGCCCTTTTTGCGCCTCCTTGTCGCCGCGGCGTGATGGGCGGGGATCGAGGTTCCAGGGCGCAGGTCCTAGGTGTGTAGACGTTCTCGGCCTTTCCTCGTCTCCTCGTCGCCACGGCTGGGGAAGCTGGGACCGAGGTTCCAGGGCGCAGGTTGTAGGTTTTTCGCCTGTTCCCTTCCTTGCGTCTCCTGGTCGCTGAGAAGAAGTTCCAGGGCGCAGGTTTTAGCGTGTTGGCGTTCTAGGCCTTTGCTGCGTCTCCCCGTCGCCACGGCCGGATCCACCTCGATGATCTGGTCGGAGCGCACCCCATGAGAGGTCCAGGGCAGGGACACGCCCAGACATCGGGCGGCGCGAAAGAATCGCAGCGGCAGCTGCAGGCCGGGCTCCAGGCCAGGGGGCCATCAAAGAACGGCTCAGGAGGAAGAACGAGCCCGCGCCCTTGGAGGCGCTCGGGAAGGGCCCGGGGGCCAGAGGGGGCGACGGGAACACAGGGGCCGCAGGGCCCGCGGCAGCGCGGGCGTGGGCCACGGGGGGGGGGGGGCGGGGGGGACGCGCCGGAAGGCGGGCCAGGGGGCCCAGGGGTCCCGCGGAGGGGCCAGGCGAAGGCAGGGGACGAGGACCTCGTGACGAGGGTGCACTTCGGACTGGAACTCAAGCGAGGCGGGGACCCCTCCTCCTCCTCCTCCTCCTCCTCCTCCTCCTCCTCCTCCTCCTCCTCCTCCCCTCCTCCTCCTCCTCCTCTCCTCCTCTTCCTCCTCCTCCTCCTCGGGACCTCCGAGAGCAGCGGGGGGGGGGAGCCAAGGGCCCCCCAGAGCACAGCACAGGGGGGGGCGGCTCGTGCCCGAGGTCCGCGCGGGTGCCTCGGGCCAGCGTTGGGCACCTCACCCAACCCGCGGCGGTGCCTCTGGCGCCTCCACCTCCTCCTCTCCTCCTCCTCCTCCTCCTCCTCCTCTCCTCCTCCTCCTCCTCCTCCTCCTCATCTCTCCTCACCCTCCCCCTCCCCTCCTCCCCCTCCTCCACCTCCTCCTCCTCCTCTACCTCCTCCTCCTCCTCCTCTTCCTCCTGTTCGGGTCGCCTACGGCCCCGGGGGAAGCCGTGCACGCTGATCCTGCTCGTCCTGCCCATTCGAAGGGGCAGGTCCAGGAGGGTCAGAAGGGGGAGGTGGATCCACCGGGTGAGCACCTGCTCCGCCTCCTCCTCCCTTTTTTGGCGGTGCGTGCCATGGGGGGTGCGCGGGGGTGCGCGGCCTTCCAGAAGGCCGGGGGCTTTACAGGGGGGCTTCCTGTAGAATGGCTTGTGTGCTTCTGAGAAGGCTTCTTAGAAGCTGGGAGGGCTTTCAAGAAGCCACCCTGCCTTCTGAGAAGCTTCCCCGCCTTCTTAGAAGGCCGCCCCCCTCTCGCCACCCCCTTGTGCGCGCCGCCACGGGGTGTATGGGGAGGAGCGGTCAGCGTCTCGACCTATGAGATCTGCGCGGACCTCCAGAAGTCTGTGCTTCTGCCATTCCGTGGTCTTGTGGGGAAGGAGCAGTCGCGTTCCATCGCCTGGCCCGCCGGGCGGCCAATATGTTTTCCTCCCGGAAGCTGGCGGGCGATCTCGCGGGGGCTGGCGGAACAGACTCTGATGGCTCTGTCGCCGGGAAATCTTGGGGAGCCAAGGTCCAGCCGCCAAAGGTTATCGCCAGAGTCCTCTGGAATTCTGGTGCTTTCGGGGATAGGACGGACACAGCAGGTGTGCGGTTGGGTGCCAGAATGAGCCGTGTTTCTCGTCGCTCCGAAGGCCAGAATTTACCGCGCCGTGGACCTCCTCGTGGCAGAGCGCGCCAAGTCGCTCGCCGCCGCAGCGTTCGGCTCGTGGTGTGCAGTGGTGGTCCATGCGTCAGGCACGCGTCCTCCAGGCGCTCTTCACGCGCTGCCAGTGCAGCTGCGGCGACACGGTACCGACGCGCATCCCAGGCAGCCGTTCCAGCTGTCCGATGCCGACAGGGACGTGGTGCTCCAGGAGCTGGCGCTGCTGCGCGGCGGCTGCGAGCGGTGGCTGGAGCAGCCGCCGCCGCCCGCCCTGCCGGCGCCGCGGTCCGTCCCAGCCAGGGGGTCGGGAAGTGGAGGCCCCGGGAGGGAACCGCGGCCCCAGTGGAGCTCGGAGATCGGCGAGCTTCCCCGATCGAGCAAGTGGGGCTGGCGCCGTGGCACAGCACAGCGGCCGTGCGCAGCCGCGAGCGCCACTGTGGTGCACAGCGGCTGTGCACCGTAGTGGCGCCTCGATGTTCCAGAGCGGGTCGTCAGTCTTGGCCAGGAGGCCCAGGGACGTTCAGCTGGGCCAGGAGACCCCAATGCCGTTCAGCTGGGGAAAGGCGGGAACGGTTGAGCTGAACGGCTCTGGGCCTGAAGGGCAGACACTTGGTGACACTTGGTGGCTTGGCCTTCGGTCTAATCTCGGCGCGGGCCCCTCAAACCCCCGAGCTCTCGTTGCTATGACCTAGGTCCCATAGCCTCACGGTCGTGCCAGGCCCGTCGCCCCACCGCCCGAAGCCCTGCTGTGTGACTTCCAATCGTGCTGGAGAGCTGCTCTGGCCCGTGCCCCCCACCGTGCCATCGTCTGGTCGGCGCGCCTCGGTCGGTGCGGCGAGGGGCAGCGGGGCTGTGACCCTCTGGGTCCGCTGGCCGTCCACCCTTCTGGCGCAGGGCCGAGCAGGCCTTCGCTGGTCCTCCGGGGGGGAGGCTGGCAGACGGAGCGTCCAGGCGGCCGCCCCGGCACTGGCCTGGGGGCGGCAGCTTGGCCAGCGGCCGCCAGCCGGGCCCGACCGGGGGCTCCGAGCCCGCTGTGTTCACGCCCCAGCTGGCCGCCCGAGCTCCTCCTCCTCCTCCTCCTCCTCCTCCTCCTCCTCCTCCTCCTCCTCCTCCGCCTCCTCCTGGCTGGCCCGGGGGTCGGAGCAGCAAGTCAGTCACGCAGCCATTCGGGACGTTCCAGGACGGGCCTCGCCTTCGAGGAATCGGGAGGTTGGCATGTCTTGACCAGCCGACTCCGGCGGACGTAGCAACCACGGGCCAGTCCGCTGGCTGACCCCGGCGGATGCACAAGATGCGCCCCCAAGGGATGGCAAGATTCTTTAGTTCGAGGCTTTTGGAATTCCGCATCGGAGGAGATCGGCGGGGTTGCCTCTTCCCCCTGCTAGCCCGCGCACACCCCTTGACCCAGTCACCCGCCGTCGGGCCATCGTTGGGATCGTGAGCCCCCCGCACAGGTCTGGCTTCGTGCCCGCGATCGAATGCGCAGTCTTCCAGGGCGCCGCGGCACGGGGATCTGCCGACAGCCACTAGTAGAGCCCTGCGTGAGCGCTTGCATGGAAAGGTGCGAGGTGGACACGGGCGGTCCTGCCGCTGCCGCTGCTTCTCTGTGTGCCCCCTTCTCCGTGCGCCCACTCCGCCATGTCCATCGGTCCTCCCATTCAGACCCAGGGGAGGGATGGGGAGGGGTCGGGTTCCCAATGGGTACGCCACAAGCCGTCTCGCCCGCGCCCAACCGCCCTCCCGCCACGCAAGTAGCACCCGAGGCTCGACACGGGCAGAGGTCGACGTCGGAGGGGCCGCCAGCGCGAGCCAGCTCGGACACCACGTGCGCGACGTTCGCGAGGTGCCCGCGCGTGCCGCGCGCGCCACACGCACATGGTCTGCCAGGGCGCCCGCGGGGCCCAACCATGCCAGACGCACCTGGTGCGCCAGGTGCGCAGCGTGCGCCAACTGTGCCACGTGCTCCAGCCGCGCCAGGCGCCCCACGTGCGAAGCGTGCGCAGGGTATGCCGCGTAGCGACAGGTTCGCCAGTGCAAATGTCAGCACTCAGCGGGGAACACGTCGACCCCCCCTCCGCCCCTGTCAAAAGCCAGTGCAGAGTGCAGCATGGTGTATGGTGTGTGAACCCGTGTTTGATTTTCGGTGGTCTTTGGCGTGGAGAAGTTTGGTAGGTTCGCGTCGTGTCGGCCAGTGGCGAACCCGCCGCTGGCGTTCAACGTCGAACGCCGCCAGCGGCCCAGAACCGGTCCATGCTGAACGATCTGACGTTTGGGAGACGGCCAATCGTTCAAGGTTGAGCGTTCCAAGCGGTGTCAGAAAGCAACGCCGAAGCCAGCACGACACGAACCTTACGTAGTCGGGCAGTGCGAAGCGGACAGATCTCAACACGAACCCGCCGTCCTTTCCAAAGGCCAGGGCAGAGTGGTTGCGCGGAGTGCCATCTCTCGATTCAGAATCTGCCGCCACGTGCTTTGTGTATTGATTTTTGACAGGCCCAGGCTCATTTCGACTCCTCCAACTCGATTCGATTCGATTTCGATGGCTTCCGATTCCGATTCGATTCGGCTGCGGATTCCGATTTGGATTCTGGTTTCTCAGGGCAGGCTTCACTGGCCTGCCGATCTCCGCCGATTCGACTTCTTCCAAGTTGGCTGCCGATGTCCTCCGATCCGATAATTTTGATCGCCGATCCGACTTATCGATTTGATTCTGGGCTCGCCTGCAGGCGTGGCGGGGGTTGTGCTCACGGTTCCTTGTTGGCGGGTGGGATTTTGGCCAGAGCGCGACCGAGCACAGGTCCGGGGGTTGATTTGAAGGCATGGGGCCCAGACTGGTTGCACTTCGAACGCATCGTGCGGGAGGTTGTTCATTTTTTTCTGCGTTCGGGGGGGCCGTTTCTTGGCTCCGAGACCGTTCACAAAGCGATTCGGACGGAAAACAATCGGTCCGTTCCTCCCCGTTCCGCGGGGCCACGAGTTGGGTATTGTTTCGAATCTGGTTTCGTGCGTTTTGCAATAGTTTTGGCAAAAGTCATGAGATTGGGCTCGATTGCGCTTTTCTCAAGATGCAACTTTCAGTCACGAGTTACTCACTTGGGTGCGTCCTTGCAGAGCATAGTGATGCCCAACACTGCTGTTTTTGTATTCCCATCAGCTGCAGGGCACGTCAATCCCTCGCTGCCGTTATGCCAGCAGCTGGTTCGGCTTGGATGGCATGTAGAGTATCTTTGTGGGTCTGAAGAGTTCAGGGACGCCATAGAGAGTACTGGAGCAACGTATCATGATCGTAACGCTGTGTGCGCTGAGATCGGAATTGACGACATCAAAGCCATGGTTATGAGCTCTCTTTCCAAGTATGCCGACCCTGGGGCACAGACGTGGGGCATAAATTTTGGCAGCATTGCCACCGAAAGGCTCCTACCTGCTCATATTGATTTTATCCGGCGCCTATCGCCGCAGTTGGTCGTATATTGCCCGGTTCTGTGCCAGGTGGCCCACCTTGCAGCTATGCACCTCAAAATTGCGGACGTGTCTCTCCTCACTGCTGCTGGCCCCGGGTACTGGGATGCTGCTTTTGCGGCACATGGTGGAGCTGCAGCCAAGAGAGGGATGATTGAGACGATCAAGGCCAACCAGGCAAACTCTAAAGCAATCGACGCAATACGAGCGTTGGTCAACCTGCCAGAGCTGAGCCTCAACACATCTGCGCCTCTCGTCCGCGACTACTATGCCAACGTGAACATTGTAAGTACAACCGCTTCCTTGGCTGACACGCTTGACGAAGAGGACGCTCAATACTACGATTCAGTCGGGAAGACGTTCGAATTTGTGGGCCCACTGCTCGCAGAGAAGCAAGCCACTATGGCAGAGGCTTTGTCCATGGGAGAAGCTGCACGCCTGTTCAAGCTCGTGGAGGCTGCCTCTGCGGCGAGGCGGAAGATCGTGTATGTTTCTTTGGGCACTGTTGTGACGGGCGATCATCCAGATATGGGCTGGAACGGCAAGTGCACAAGCGGGATAACAGGGAAGGAGTTATGCCAATCAGTGTATCGAGCTGTTTTCGCAGAGTTGGGATCATCAAGTAGTGTTCTGTCACCACCGCCTTTGTTGGTGCTCTCGGTCGGTCCACCTCCAGATGCGCTCGAACATATATCCGTTCCCGAAAATGCAATTTGTTTGAAGAGCGTACCTCAGGTTGAACTTCTTCGCCTGGCCAAGCCTGCCCTCTTTGTAACAAATGGTGGTCAGAACTCGTTCATGGAATCTTTGTCTGTCGGCTCACCGCTTGTCGTTTGTCCAGGTTTTGGTGATCAACTTTCCAACGCAGCCAAAGCACAGAGGCTCGGGTTGGGCGAGAAGGTGGATCGCCCTGGAAAAAGTGAACAAGGTGATGAAGCTGCTGCGTACCAGGCTGCCGTGGCTTCTGCGATAAGGAAGGTTCTTGGAGAGTCACACCAGTCGTACCTCGCCAGAGCAGGGGAAGCTGCAGCAGAGCTAGAGCGTGCCGGCGGTGTGGACAGGGCGGTTGAGATACTTGTGAGGGTAGCCGGGGCAGGGCACGAGCAGTGCCAACGCACGCAATGATTGTACGATCCAGCCCACACGTCCGCGCCGCAAGACATCGGACGACGCCCTCGCGGCGAGGGTCCGACGCAGATCCGACGCGGATGCATTCGAGACCTCGCGGATCCATGGGGGGCTGCCGGCTGCACGGCCGTCGCAGCATCCGTGAGCTCGTGGGGGAGCCTTGTGGATTGGGGGGAGACGTGGATCAGGGCTGGACCCAAGCGGCGTTTTGGCGATTTCGTGGGCCGTGTTCGTTTCGATGTCGTTTCGCGGTAGAGGCGCATCGAAGACAACCCGAGGGAAGACGAAGACAAAGCGAAAACGAAAAAGCACCGTTGAGGTTCAGCCCCGGCGTGGATCCAGTCGAGACCCTGCGGCTCTCTGGGGGGCTGCCGTCGGCAAACATTTTGCCGCCACTTGTGTGGGCTCCGGGGGGGGGGGTCCATGGCGGAGCAGAGGGAGGGGTACGCGGAGCCAGCCGAGGCCTCGCGGCTTTATTTGGGAGGGGAGGGGGCGCAATCGTCGCCACCCTCGTGGGATCCTCCTCCTCCTCCTCCTTCTCCTCCTCTTCCTCCTCCTCCTCCTCCTCCTCCTCCTCCTCCTCCTCCTCCTCCTCCTCCTCCTCCTCCTCCCCCTCCCCCTCTCCATTCCCTTCTCCTCGCTGGTCGCTCCTCCTCCTCTTCCTCCTCCTCCTCCTCCTCCTCCTCCTCCTCCCCCTCCTCCTCCTCGAGACTCTTCCTCGATACTCCTTCTCCTCCTCCTCCTGCGAGGCTCCGCGGCGTGGCGGGGCAGTGCCCCGCTGCTCCGCGGCTTGACGCCCCGGGGGTCCCCTTGTGGGGCTGCCAGCTGCGCCAGAGAGTCACCGCTCTCGGCGGCTCTCTTGGGAGCTCCGGGGCGGATTGGGGGGGGCACCCTCGTGGGAGCCTCCTCCTCCTCCTCCTCCTCCTCCTCATCCTCATCCTCATCCGCATCCTCATCCTCCTCCCCCTCCCCCTCTCCATTCCCTTCGGGGCGGAGTTGGGGGGGCACGCGGATCCAATCGAGACCTTGCGGCTCTTTGGGGGACTGCCACCTGCGCAGCCGGCGCCCATGTCGTTGGCTCCCGGGGGCCCCAGGGGGGGCACCCCACTCCGTGCCAAAGACACGGTGGCGGCTGTTGAGCAGCCGCGCCCGGCTTCCTCCCCTGCTCCTTTCCCCCTCCATCTCCCTCTGCCGCAGCCATCTTGGCTCAAGCAATTTTGGCCCGAGCCAGTTTGTCTCAAGCCAGCCTGGGCACTCCCCGTAGTCTGTTGCCTGCCGGTGCGCGTGTGAGTTTAGTCTGGTGTTCGTTGTGTTATCCTGGACGGCTCGGTGGTCCACGAGCAGGGCACACAGGACTTTAGCTGCGCGTATTCGGATTCCCCGCCAGCGGGTGAGAGGCTGAGACGAGAAGACCGAGAGCACTAGCCACAAGTCTGACATTGCCGCCGACGACTCAGACTCGACCGACTCAGACGGCCAGGTTTTTGTCGCTTCTTGGGGTCAACGGGCCGACGTCGACACCCTTATGTCGCGCCCTCTCAGTTTCGGGAGCTCTCGCGCTTCGACTCGAGTGTCGATGCCGAGGTGTCTGTCCCTGTGGCGGCCTCGGCTGCTGATGTTCCCGTGTTGGGTCATTCGCCTGAGGATTTCAATGGACATGGCACGATTTGGGGGCAGTGGGTTCGAGTCTGATCGTTCCTGGACGGTGTGCGGTTACCGCTCTTATACTTTCCCCACGTGTGTTCCCAGTGTCGGTGGTCGTGTGACGTCGCCTTTACCTTGTCTGGAGGTGGAGCCTCTAGTTCTCGCTTGGCAGAGGATTGAGGGTTGCCAGCGCTCGGCTCAGGAAACACAGCTCTGACTGCGTGCCATTGAACAGAAGCCCGACAAGCAGTTCACTTGCACTCTTGAGTCGGAAGAGAAGAGATGGTTGCTACAATTGTCCCCATAGGTCCTTGCGGTCTTTTGCGTGAGCGCTTTGACGAGACTCTGACGAGGCTTTGACAGATGACTGAAGCGTTCCAGATCTTAGACACCATAATCCAACTGATCTGCGGTGACGTGGTGGACTCCCAGCTCTCGCATATGAGTCATCTCGATCCTCGCCTTAGCCGCATCCCTGACATTGATGCGTTCGAGGTCAAGGTCTCGTCTGCTGTTGGTGCGCTCCGCACCCCTCGTGCCAAGTGGAGTTGTCGGTTTGCCTGCACGAAGACGACATCGTGTCCTTCGCCGGGTCGACTGTAGAGGAGTGCCGTAGCCTGCTTGCCTCGGAGCCTTCCAGGCTCAAGGCTCTGGTTGTCAATCCCGCGGCGGCCACTCTTGAGCAGTGGGTGCAATGGTCCCTCGCACAGATTTAGGATGATGGTCAGAGGCTCTTGAATTCGGACCTGTGCGAAGGTGAGCGACTTCCTGTCCACCGTGGGTGAACAACTCTCGATGGAGGCCCACGCTATACTCCACTCTTTGCACCGACGTGTCTGCGTTGCGAGATTCTGCTGCGCTTGTGCAGAACTATCGGTGTGCAGTTTCGGATGCTTCCGTCTTGGAGGATCGGGTTGCCACCCATGAGGAAACTATCCGAAAACATACTGGTGCGTTTGGTACGTCGGTTGCTCAGAATGCGAAGTTGGTTCAGGATGCTGCCGGGAAGGGCTTCCAACAGGTTTTATAATCTTATGTCGTTCTCGTCCGCGTACGCTGTTCGCTGGCTGGGCGTGGCTTTGCCGGCCCTTCTCCCGTGTTTCCGGCTGGACGCAGCGCACGTGATGCGACAGCGTTCGAAGCCCGAGTTTGGCTCGAGGGCGAGGGGTTGTGCTCGGCTCGCGGCGGGACCAAGAGCCACTTGCATTCGAAGCTCACGTGCGTCAGAAGGGGAAAAAACACAGACACAATTAATCGTCGATTCCCAAGAAAATGTGCGAAAATATGGGAAGTGGGGGGGAAGACAGAAACCCAGAAAATATAGGAAAATATGGGGGATTATGTTATTTGTGTGCATTTATTTGTGTGTCCTGGGGCGCCTCCAGTGCGCCTGCTCGTCGCGGGGCGACGCGGGGGCTGTCTGGACGACGTGGTGTGGGAGCGGGCGGTGCGCGGGGGCCTCCCGCTGTCGCCGGCGTTCCCTCCATGTTGCTTCGTCGTCTCTCAGCACTTCTCCCTGGGTCGTGGATTCGTCTGCCTCTCAGTCAGACAGGACGTTTCTTTGACGCTCGTCTCCTCCTCCTCCTCCTCCTCCTCCTCCTCATCATCATCATCATCATCAGCATCATCGGCATTATCATCCTCATCATCCTCCTCCTCCGACCGCGCCGCTTCTCGGAATCGAGTCCCTCCCTCACCCCGCTGGTGTTCATTGTCAGTCCTTCCGTTTCTCCTGCCACCCTACCAGTCGCCCTCATGCCGCGCCTGACCTCAGCCGCTCGCCCCCCTCTCCCTTGCCTCGTTGCTTCATCCATCGCTTACCAGCCTGGAACATATCCCTATCCCTGTTTGACATCACCTCACCTCGATGCCGATCTTAAGGATTCCCTCAGTGGTTGAAGGCCTATCCCTAAGATTGTCCTCGCTTTTTGCTCGCCCATCTTAGGGATAGGGATACGTTCGAGGCTGGTTAATCTCTCTCTGCGCACGACCGACCCCGCGCGCCAGGATCCGCGCGGCGACGGGCCCCAGGGCACGGGATGGCGCGACCCATCCCGCGCGGCAAACCGCGGCGGAGGCGCCGACCCTGGGCGGAGAAACGACCGCCGAGGGATGGGAGGGGCCGTCGAGAAACGAAAATCAATATCAAAGGCTGGCTCCTGGGAAGGTGACGCGGCCGCGGCGGTCCATGTTGTGCAGAGGTCGCGACGTCGGGGGGCTGGGCTGCTCTCCCGTCAGGGATGATGATCGCGTGTTTCTGTTCCCCGGTGCTGGGTTCACCTGGGCGCCCTCGTTGAGGCTTGGGGCCCAGACGGCATCGAGAGCCCATCGGAAAACTGAAAGCCCAAACGAATGGGAGCGCAACGAATGGTCTGAAAGATGGTGGCCTCTTGGGAGCATCTTTGGGAGACTCGGAGGGCACTTGTCGCCGTCCTGTGTCGATCTTGACGGTTCTTGGAGACATGTTGGAGGCTATCTTGGATCATGTTGGAGTCGGTTGAGTGATCTTTCAGGCCACGTTGGGCTCTTCAGGGCCGTCTTGGGCCCTTGGAGCCAGCAGGGGTCAACAAGGACCGAAAGCACAGCAGAAAGCGCAAGCACCAGTCCCATCAGCCCCCTGCGCGCATGTGACCCTCGGAGCTCGTTCTGCTGACCCCCTTCTTCCCTTCCGGGAAGGGGGGGGGGGGCACCCCCCACGGCCCTCTGCATCTAACTGCGGAGCTCCAGGTGGCTCCAGGGGGGAGCATGCTGCCCCTCCTCCTTTCCGCTTCTGCTGCTCCTCCTCCTCCCCCATATCTCATCTGCTGCCGCAGGGTAGTTGTCCCTTCCCGCTCCCTCTCTGTGCCTTTTGTCTCTCCCAATCCATGCCTTCTCTCCCTTCTCTCAGACTTGTCTCTCTCCCTCGCTATGCCTTTTTTTTCTCTCTGACAATTTTCACGGGGGCCGCCGTGTCAGGCAGGGACGTCGGTGCCTGGGGTAGCGGCCCTGGTGGCGAGCCTGACCTAACCTCCTCCTCCTCCCCTCCCCTCGCCATCCGAGCCCTCTCCCCCTCCTTTCCCCGCAGACGCGCTAACGGCAATGTAGGTAATGGCGATGTAGGTTGCGGCATTGTAGGTGGGACCGGTTCGTGGCCAAACCGAATGCAGGACATGGTGGTCCGCGCGTTCTTGCAATTCCCTGCGTCGTCTTCGCTCGGTACATTCATTCACCCGACATGATGTAGGAAAGTGTGCTTCGTGAGCTCCTGACAAATTTGTTCTGCGCGAGCTCGGCGTCACAAAGACCATATGCCCAACGTCGCCGTTGGCAAGCATCGCCGTTGGCGCGGCCCTGGACAATTTGGACTCGGGAGAGGAGCTCTGGCCTCCGGGCCGTCCCTCTGCCCTGGGCCGGGGAACCTGGTCGAACCCCGAGGCCCGCCGAGGCCAGGAATCAAGCAGTGGCGAAGCGTCCTGGCTCGCCAATAGCCCTACCAAACAATGTTCTAAGAACCTTTTGTCGTTTCCACGAAATGTTCTTAGAACATTCCTGGCTGGGACTGTCTTGGTTTAACACATCGGGTTCATGTTCTAAGAGCAGTGCTTGTGTTTTTAGAACATTTTTGGGGTTCTAAGAACATTTCGTGGTAGCACTATAGGAACGCCGGGACGGTCGGTCCCTGCTCAAAGAAAAGCCCTTCTAGTTTTTTTCTCGGCGCTTCACGGCAGCACGAGGACTGCACCCCAGCCATTAGCCGACATGGTCTTTGATCAAGTCGCGGCCCCCGAACTCCCGACCCTTTTTTTCTCCGGGGGCAGTCTCGCGCTCCAGATCCACGCTTGATGGTCCCGGGGCCCGATGGCGGGTCCTGGAGGCCGGAATCGAGGAAACACGCCAGGATTGAAGCGCCAGGTCCCTGGAGATCAGGGGCTGCTCCTGCTCATGCCGCTGCTCGCTCCTGTCAGGCAGTCCAAAGGATTGCGACTGACCGCTCGCTCCTGCTCAACTCCTGACTGCTCCCAGCTGCGACCGCTCATGTTGCTACATACGTACTGAGTTCTTCGCCTCGCGATGCTCTGTTCTGCTACAGTCAGCGGCTTGAATAAGGAACACTTGCTTTTCAAAAGGGGCTCGGTCGCTCCTTAGGATTGCATGCGTTATGTAGCGTCCCTTATGCGCTATGTATTAGTTATCGTTCCTTATGCGCTATTCCTTGGAAAGAAAGGGGCTTCGTTCCTCATTCATCGTTTCTTAGGTCAGGCCGATGACTGTACGGCCTGTGTTGCACGGTTGCGAGGGAGGAGGAGAGGAGGAGGGGGGAGGAGGGGGGAGGAGGGGGAGGAGGAGGGGATGAGGAGGAGAGGAGGAGAGGAGGAGAGGAGCGGAGGAGGAGAGGAGAGCAGGAGGGAGGAGGAGGAGGAGGAGGAGAGGAGGGAGGAGGAGGGGAGGAGGAGGAGGAGGAGGAGGAGGAGGAGGAGGACCCCCTCCCCCTGCAACTTCTGGTGGTGGTGGTGGTGGTGGTGGAAAACAGGCCCCTCAAATAAGCGGCACGCAGCCCGGGGCGTCCCCGAGTGCTCCGGAGAACGGCCCGGGCGCCGGCCACGTCCTCCGGGCGCGCCCGTTCCCAGAGATTCTCCCCCAGGTTGTCCTGGGCCCCCAAAGGGGGTGGTGACCACACCGCGCGGTGAGTCGGTGGGGATTCGGGGTCACCGCACGGTCTTGGGACTCGAGCCCCTCTCCGAGGATGTCTCGGGCGACAGGGGCTTCCAGGGTCCCAAGACCGTGCGGTGACGGACCGTGCGGTGAGGTCTCTTGGGGGATGTCGAGGTTACCGCACGGTCCGTCACCGCACCGTTTCGGGACTCCAACTCCAAACAGGTTCGGGCAGCGCCCAGGGACCCCTAGGAGGGCTCACCAGCTCCTCGCGGAAGTCTTGGAGCGTTTTTTTGTTGGTCATCTTCGGGGGCCCAGCAAGGGACGGAAAGTTTTGACCGTTTCCGGTCGTCTTCGGGGGCGGCCCAGGGAGGTTCGAAGGGGGGGGGGCTTCTGGGGGGTCCAGGGGGGCCCTCGAGGGTGCCGGCGACCCCCCTATATAGAGGTGACCCCCTCGGCACTGCCTGCCTGGGAATTACCTGTCTCCCGTTTCGGGGCAGCGTGAGGCCCGAAATTTCCGTAATCTTCGGTTGGCCGCCGCTTTGGGCGATTTTGTCGTGAATTTTGACGGCCCAGTTTGGGTGAGATGTCTGTAGAAGGAGATCGCGTAAAAGTTCGCCTGCTCAGTCCCGTTGTTCGGTATCGTTTAACCAATCCCCATCCCCATCCCCATCCCTTTCGAGATCCCTACCCAATTACCCCACCAGTTGGGGATACACCCCTCGAAACCCGAAGGGAACGACCTATATCCTCATCTAGGGAGGTAAATCGGCCAGTGGGGCCCAGGCCACGCCGCTGGGGATGGGGATCGGATAAGCGAGACTCAGTTGTTTTTCAGACGGCCCCGTGCCGCTGCTGCCCTGCCCCGCCGGTGTGTTCGGTTCGGGGAGGGTGCCCAAACATGTTCTTCGTGCTTGCTGGACGTTCTTGTGCACCCTGGGGAGGGTGCCCTTGGATGTTCTGTGCGTTTTGGCCAGCGGAGACTCGCGCTCTTCAGAGGGACGTTCTTCTGCCCCAGGCTCGGCTGCGCGCCCTCGGCGCCCGCGGCTCGCCATCACGCCGCCCGCGGGCGCGGCGCGCTGGCGCAGTGCCTCCGCCCCCGCCGCAGCCTTTCGGGGCGCGCGCGCGGGCCTCCCCCCCCGAGCGCCGGCGCCGCGGGCCCCGCCGCGCGGCCGCGCGGGGAGGGGGGGGGGGGCGGGCGCGCGGGGGCGCGCGGGCACCCCGATGTCTGCCGCGAGCTCGGCCTCGCCCCGCCGCGGGGGGGGGGGGGCGGGCGGGCGCGGGTCTTCGCGCCCTCGCCGGGGCCGAGGGCCCCGGCGGCCGAGCAGCGCCAGGATGTGCCTCGAGGTGTCCGGGCGCCGCCGCTCGTGCGCGCCGGGCGTCCTCGCCCAGCGCGGGGCCCCGGGGCCCTCACGGGCGGGGCTCGAGCTGAGCGGTGTTTTGGCAATTTCGTGGACCGTTTTCGTTTTGACTTCGTGCTGCAGCAAGTGTGGAACTGAAGACAGAACCAGGGATGACGAGAACAAAACGAAAACAGAAAACACTGTTTAACTCGAGCCCTGCTCACGGGTCGATGGCGGCTCGAGGAGTGCCGCGGGAGGGCGGGGTCCAGGGCTCGGGTCGTGAATTCCTCGGTGCTGCGCAGTCTTTCGCAGCGTTGGGTCTCAGAGTGGCGGCTCCTCGGGAGCCTGAGGGCATGCCCCCGCGACAGAGGGTATGGACATCACCGTTCTTTCTGTTTTGCTTGTTCTCGCTCTCTCTCTCTCTCTCTCTTTCTCTCTCTACCTCTTCCTATATATATATATATATATGTATATGTATAGATACTCCGGTATGTCGGTGCATGTACACATATATGTATGTATGTGTATATATTTAGTAAGTTGCAATCCATAGGGGAACTGCAGTTACCTAGAGCACACGCGCTCACGAGTACGGACTGTGCAACGCTGCGCGAGCTGTACAGTAGGAACGTACACTCAATGCGGATGTCTCCAGCGCGTGCCGTTACTCTGGACAGCAGGGCCTGTGGAGAGAGGCCTGCTGTGACTCGGGCTCCGCGCAGCGCGCATGGCAGCGCGATCTAATTAATCTCGCTTCTCCAGCGCCGAAGCGGCTGAGAGAGCGCAGTGTTTCAGGACCCATGTCCAGCGCCTTGGCTGGCGGAGGTCGCTGAGGTGAGCGATGCACCTCTGACGCGTGGAACATCTCGGTCAGCATGCTGAGCAATCAATTGCTACTGCCGTCGATGTATCTATTAGTGCCAGCTCGCTCTTCGCGTTTCGTCTGACAATGGCTCGCCAGGGCACAGACGCTTGGAAGAAAATCCTGGCACTGCGTTCACGCTACTGCTATGATCCGGGCCGCCGCCCCGCCTGCCCGTGGAGGCAGAGCTTGACTATCCAAAATGGATGTCTCAAATTCGATCTGGTGCACGAGACGCGCCCAAGCGGCGGCGACGGAA